CACTTGATGGTGTAAGATCTCAGCCATAGAGACATATACACATATATATATATATATATATATATATATATATATATATCCAAAAACTAAAAACATATTTAAAAGTCTAGAGCCTAGAATTAAGAAAAAGTTTTAACACAGTAACAGAAAATTAAAACCATACAACCTCGACAAAAATTACTTTGAGTTCCCTCCGTTTGTTTTATTTTTACGGGTAGTGATAATTACTTCACGGTCCCATAGTTTTTTGGACAACTCATAAACATCGGCTTCGTGGTTGTTTGATGCAAAATCACAGAGACCTCATTTCTCCCTAATTCTTCTGAATTTCAGTTTCATCCGACGTAACTTTTCAGTTATTTGATTCTTACTGAAGTGGGGAAGATGACCATTCATGAAGATGTGAAAGCCAACCCAATCATGATTTCTTTTGCGGATCCAAAAATGCTCAAGACCAGTAAGGAGAATAAGTTCTTCTTGTTTTGAAAAGAGGTCACCAATTTTCTTCTTCTTCTCGTTAGTTTCGGAAGACTCGCCTTCTCTGTTGAATTCGAGCTTTTGCATCTCTTTCGCTACCTCTTTTGGTTCAACATTCGTGGGAACGCTTTTTTCATCAGATATCCCCATCTGATTTTCTTCCGGTTCAACATTCGTGGGAACACTTTTTTCATTAGACATCAGCATCTGATTTTCTTGGCTCGAAGACTGTTTTTGGGGCATCATTTTCTTGACTCGGATATTGCTTTGTGTTTGTGTTTGTGTTTGTGTTTGTAACAACAAGTCACCTCTATAAATAAAGCTGAATTTGGTGGGAATTTGAAACACAAAATGTTAGGAACCATTTCTATTTTGTTTTCATTGTTTCCCCAAAACAAAATGGGATTTATTACACTTTTCAAATCATTTTCTCAAAACAATTTCAAAAGTTTCTCTCTCCTCCAGACATGATGTGACTGCTACAGTAAAATGATTTGACTGCTACAGTAAAAAATGTTTTCACTAAAAAACAAATAAACATCACTTCATCTTTCAATTTTTTTCTTCAAAAATACTATTTTCTAACATCTTTAAACATGATTTGACTGCTACAGTGTATTTTGTCTCCTTCCAAAATACAAACAAACATTACTTTCATTCTCAAATTATTCCCCCAAAACATATTTCCTCAAAATGAAATCAAAATAAGATCCAAAACGCTTCCAAACATTGCCAAAGTGTTTTTTTTATTCTTGATTAGCTGCCAATTTTTTCATCCTAAGCCGCTTATGATTTTTTTTCCCTACAATCCCGTGTAAATCCTTGTTGGGTCGTGTATAGAATATTGCCGCAAAAATGCTGGCATTTGCACGACAGAGACCAAGATGTTTATGCATCACGTCACGTAGTGGATCGGTTTCTTCGGTGACACTACGCCAGCCCACAACATCTGGTGTCAATATTACGTTTGAGGTTAATGCATTTTGTACTCGTACAATTCTTTATACTTGTTGAATCCAGATAATTGTTTTTGTTCGAGCTACCATTATTTTATTTTCTGACTTGCTATTTCTAAATAACTAGGGTTGTTTTGAGATACTGTGGTTTTCCGGTTCGTACTTGCTCTCTGAAAGTGGCGGGCCCTGCAACCGGACAGGTGGCATCAGCATCTCTGTGTAGTCCTGATGGCCATATGATTGGAGGTGCAATAGGTGGTAGTCTTATTGTAGCGCAGGTATTTGGTCTATTTAGTTTGTTTTTCTGTTTAAAAACGGGTTAGTTTTCTTAGGCATTGTTAGGTTCGTAAGATAAGATAAACCAAGATAAGAATATTAAATAATGTAATGAAAATTCAATTGAATTATTGGACCAATAAATAATATTTTCGGGTCAACCCACAAAAATATTGGGTTTACCGGACATCAATCAAAGTCAGGTTATTTAATTAAGTATGACTAATCTTCCCAACCAGACGAGGTCTTAGGTGTTCTCTCCGGGAACGCCCAAGATGAAAAGCGCCTGTGGGTGGTCTGAAGAAAACCTCTTCGCCGCAGGCTATATCCTCTCAATATAAATCAATATATATGTTTTATTTAATTAAGCCTTAATTAGATGATTTGAATTGATAATTATACCTTAATTAGGTGATTTGATTAGATTCAATCATTAATTAGTGATTTGGTTAGTGATTTGATTAGATTTAAATTTCTCTGTTTCCTTTTCTGTTTCCTTTTGAAGCATGGATGAATATTACAACAGACATGATTAATATATATATATATATATATATATATATATATATATATATATATATATCGAAACACTAAAAACATATTTAAAAGTCTAGAGCCTAGAATTAAGAAAAAGTTTTAACACAGTAACAGAAAATTAAAACCATACAACCTCGACAAAAATTACTTTGAGTTCCCTCCGTTTGTTTTATTTTTACGGGTAGTGATAATTACTTCACGGTCCCATAGTTTTTTGGACAACTCATAAACATCGGCTTCGTGGTTGTTTGATGCAAAATCACAAAAACCTCATTTCTCCCTAATTCTTCCGAATTTCAGTTTCATCCGACCTAACTTTTCAGTTATTTGATTCTTACTGAAGTGGGGAAGATGACCATTCATGAAGATGTGAAATCCAACCCAATCATGGTTTCTTTTGCGGATCCAAAAATGCTCAAGACCAGTAAGGAGAATGAGTTCTTCTTGTTTTGAAAAGAGGTCACCAATTTTCTTCTTCTTCTCGTTAGTTTCGGAAGACTCGCCTTCTCCATTGAATTCGAGCTTTTGCATCTCTTTCGCTACCTCTTTTGGTTCAACATTCGTGGGAACGCTTTTTTCATCAGATATCCCCATCTGATTTTCTTCCGGTTCAACATTCGTGGGAACACTTTTTTCATTAGACATCACCATCTGATTTTCTTGGCTCGAAGACTGTTTTTTGGGGCGTCATTTTCTTGACTCGGATATTGCTTTGTGTTTGTGTTTGTGTTTGTGTTTGTAACAACAAGTCACCTCTATAAATAAAGCTGAATTTGGTGGGAATTTGAAACACAAAGTGTTTTTTTATTCTTGATTAGCGGCCAATTTTTTCATCCTAAGCCGCTCAGGGTTTTTTTTCCCTACAATCCCGTGTAAATCCTTGTTGGGTCGTGTATAGAATATTGCCGCAAAAATGCTGGCATTTGCACGACAGAGACCAAGATGTTTATGCATCATGTCACGTAGTGGATCGGTTTCTTCGGTGACACTACGCCAGCCCACAACATCTGGTGTCAATATTACGTTTGAGGTTAATGCATTTTGTACTCGTACAATTCTTTATACTTGTTGAATCCAGATAATTGTTTTTGTTCGAGCTACCATTATTTTATTTTCTGACTTGCTATTTCTAAATAACTAGGGTTGTTTTGAGATACTGTGGTTTTCCGGTTCGTACTTGCTCTCTGAAAGTGGCGGGCCTGCAACCGGACAGGTGGCATCAGCATCTCTGTGTAGTCCTGATGGCCATATGATTGGAGGTGCAATAGGTGGTAGTCTTATTGTAGCGCAGGAATTTGGTCTATTTAGTTTGTTTATCTGTTTAAAAACGGGTTAGTTTTCTTAGGCATTGTTTGGTTCGTAAGATAAGATAAACCAAGATAAGAATATTAAATAATGTAATGAAAATTCAATTGAATTATTGGACCAATAAATAATATTTTCGGGTCAACCCACAAAAATATTGGGTTTACCGGACATCAATCAAAGTCAGGTTATTTAATTAAGTATGACTAATCTTCCCAACCAGACGAGGTCTTAGGTGTTCTCTCCGGGAACGCCCAAGATGAAAAGCGCCTGTGGGTGGTCTGAAGAAAACCTCTTCGCCGCAGGCTATATCCTCTCAATATAAATCAATATATATGTTTTATTTAATTAAGCCTTAATTAGATGATTTGAATTGATAATTATACCTTAATTAGGTGATTTGATTAGATTCAATCATTAATTAGTGATTTGGTTAGTGATTTGATTAGATTTAAATTTCTCTGTTTCCTTTTCTGTTTCCTTTTGAAGCCTGGATGAATATTACAACAGACATGATTAATATATATATATATCTATATATATATATATATATATATATATATATATATATATATATATATATATATATATCGAAACACTAAAAACATATTTAAGAGTCTAGAGCCTAGAATTAAGAAAAAGTTTTAACACAGTAACAGAAAATTAAAACCATACAACCTCGACAAAAATTACTTTAAGTTCCCTCCGTTTGTTTTATTTTTACGGGTAGTGATAATTACTTCACGGTCCCATAGTTTTTTGGACAACTCATAAACATCGGCTTCGTGGTTGTTTGATGCAAAATCACAAAAACCTCATTTCTCCCTAATTCTTCCGAATTTCAGTTTCATCCGACCTAACTTTTCAGTTATTTGATTCTTACTGAAGTGGGGAAGATGACCATTCATGAAGATGTGAAATCCAACCCAATCATGGTTTCTTTTGCGGATCCAAAAATGCTCAAGACCAGTAAGGAGAATGAGTTCTTCTTGTTTTGAAAAGAGGTCACCAATTTTCTTCTTCTTCTCGTTAGTTTCGGAAGACTCGCCTTCTCCATTGAATTCGAGCTTTTGCATCTCTTTCGCTACCTCTTTTGGTTCAACATTCGTGGGAACGCTTTTTTCATCAGATATCCCCATCTGATTTTCTTCCGGTTCAACATTCGTGGGAACACTTTTTTCATTAGACATCAGCATCTGATTTTCTTGGCTCGAAGACTGTTTTTGGGGCGTCATTTTCTTGACTCGGATATTGTTGTGTTTGTGTTTGTGTTTGTGTTTGTAACAACAAGTCACCTCTATAAATAAAGTTGAATTTGGTGGGAATTTGAAACACAAAGTGTTTTTTTCATTCTTGATTAGCTGCCAATTTTTTCATCCTAAGCCGCTTAGGGTTTTTTTCCCTACAATCCCGTGTAAATCCTTGTTGAGTCGTGTATAGAATATTGCCGCAAAAATGCTGGCATTTGCACGACAGAGACCAAGATGTTTATGCATCATGTCACGTAGTGGATCGGTTTCTTCGGTGACACTACGCCAGCCCAAGTAACGAATTAATACATTTTATTTTTTTCATATAGTTCGAATTAATACAAGTGTCCCATCAATCCATGAAACAAACAAAAATTACAACAAATTACCTCATATTTTTCAAGTAACGAGTTCCAATCTTTTACCAAGCCAGAAACTCGTGCACCGGAATATGGATTCCGTTCGTCGATTGCGGCTGGAATACGGATCCTATTCTTCGGCAATACAAATCGTCGTCGAAATACAAATCCCGTGCAGCGGTGGCAGACGACGGTCAGGGGAGCAGCGGCGACGGGCGGCGGCGGCGGAGGGAGCAGCGGCTCTGTTCTCATCGGGAGCAGCGGCTGCGGGCAGCGGCCGAGGAGGAGCAGCAACGGTGGGCAGCGCAAGTTGGGGGAGAAGCAGAGGTAGGTCACATGGCTTTGGATAGAGATAGAGTTAGAAAGAGAAGAAGAGAAATATGATGGAGAGATGTCACGTGGTTAGAGAGAGAGAGAGTTAAAGAGAGAAGAAGAGAAAGTAGTTGGAAAGATAGAATGACTGAATGAGTGGGAGAGAAAAAACTAGGGTTTGAATTGAAATTAAAAAGGTAAAACAAGTAATTCAAGTTGTTCAGTGGGGTCTCACTAATTAAGATTAGAATGTGAGTTTTTGACTAGGGAAGAAAATTCCATAGAACCTAACCATATATATTTTCAAAACTAGGGGGTTATCCCACATTTCCCATTTAAATATTTCCAATTCATTCAAACTTATATGCAAATAAGGAAAATCTTTTTATATAACCAAAATTACACACAATTTCTTGAAACTCAATTCAACTTCAATTTCATATATACACCTCAATTTAGCTCAATTTCACCAATTAACTAATTTTGACATTAATTTCAATTTGACTCCCATTTTGACCCGCCACCACCAGAAATCGTTGGTCAGCCACCGTTGACCGTCGGTCTCCGACATTCACTTCTTAGTAGTGGTTCTCTAAATTGGACTC